AGAGTTCCGTGTATAATAAATAAGGGAAATAATCCAAGATGGCGATCTCCCAGAATCGTCGATCTTTTCCTGAAAAAACTTGAAAATTTCTATACCTGTGTATTTTACGCACCCCCCACTTTGGGTATTAAATTTCTGAAAAAAAAGTGCGCAAATTACATGGGTTTTTACGGTAGCTATTCCACCAGACCTGTACTTAATACCACAACAAGGAAGAACACGCACTCACAACAGTCAGGGATTCCAAAGACCACACACTAGGACCAACACATACATGTACTCGTTTTTCCCCAGGACCATCACAGCGTGGAACATGGTGCCATTACACATCATTCAGACGACCCCCTTGGACCTGTTCAAGGCCCGGTTGAATGAATCGCGAGTACATGTATAAGACACTTCAAATTTTTAATCGCACTGTAAATACACACACCGCACTGTATATACACAAACCTGACTGTGCATACACCTATACGCACTTCACCTGCTGCCACGCATGTACAGTTGCACCTGTTCGGAATAATTCCCAGAGGATTGTGAACAGTATACAAGATAGATAGATAGATAGATAAACCAGGGTAAAGCCGCTCTAGAAAATCTAACTGAACGGGTGGTATGGGTTAACTGGATTTGTTTCCTACTGACTAATGAGAAGATGCTCTTGAGTTCCAATACATTATCACCCTCCCAGTCTAGTCAACATTCGTCTGATTCGATACATTACTGTATTACTGGCCTAATGTCTCGGTTTCTGCAAAATTAATTCTTGACGCGTGTATTCCTGCTTACCTGTGACCTTGAGTACAGTCGTGTATCTGTTTGTTTTTTCCATCTGTAAAGTCCAGGCTTGTGGCTACTTTCATCCATCTTCGTTTCGACCTCAATTAAGAACTACACATTCCCAATGTAAACAACATGCATGGGAGCAGCCATGTTTAAACAAATTCTGTAGTCAATCTCGGCACGTGACTTTGACGGGATATCACGAGAAGTTGGAAACTACAGGTAGGTCAATGTTACAATCTATTGTATCATTTAACTTTAAAATAACATTATAATGAATTAATTTTATTCCATGAAATTGATGCCATATTGATCTGCGTGTGATTTTGTAACTTTTCGCATTTTAAGAATCTCAGTTACCCGCGCACTTGTCAGATGGAGTGACGTTTTACTCGTCCCCTTCGCGTTGGGATATTCCAGGTCATTCCAAAATGTTATTTCGTGCAGAATGGGACAACCCGTTTGAACATTCCATCATAGGGTGAAAATGGTCAATACTTATAACACTTTGACCCTTATTCACGACTGATGTTTCTCTTTGTCAAATTAACACTAAAAATAATCAGAACAGAGTTTTAATAGACAAAATTTACTATTAGCATAATTTATTTCTGTCTACGAATGGTGGACAAAATGGTGGTTTAATCTGCGCAATATGGCCGCCCACCCCTTCTGCGTTGTTCCGTCGCCCTGGCGAAACCAGTGGTGGGGGTGATCATGGGTCATTCCAAATTTGGCCTGGGTCTCTCTGAATGAAACTCAGAACAACAACAACGATGTGCGTAGGCTGAATTTGCGGCTAAGTTAGTGGAGACAAATTGATAGTGTGACAAGGTCATATAATATGAGATCAGAAAGTGATTGTTTGAGAACAAGTTTTACAACCTTTTTATCGCCGAAAATAGTCGTTTAATATGCCGTCAACAATACAAATAAACATTCGGTTTAGATATTTAGTTGATAATGACATCTATTTGATAATAAAATTAATATTTTCCGTAAACTTTTATTTGTTATCAATAATTTCACCTTTATATTAAACAAATAGGTGTCTGCAGGGGCTTAGCTGTTATGTTATGAGCACATGCCAAAAATAGCCATGGGCATGGTCGGTACATGAACATGCCGGTAACGTACATCTCAACATAAAAATCTCAAAAGCACTGACAATTAGCCTAAATCATAAGAGTGATGTGTCAAAAGCTCTAAAACTCAAGTCCTGATGATAACCTTTCATAATATTTAGCACCTAATTATCATGAGGACCTGCATAGACTTTGATTTTTTGATTTTCAAGTGTTATATTTTTTAGTACAAAGTGCCAGTTAACCTTATGGTACATGTGTTATCCGTCATCCATCAATTTTTTTTTGAACAACTTCTTAAGAACTAGAGGACCTAGGCCCATGCGATTTGGCCAGTATGTATAACTGGGACAGAGTGCCATAAGTTTTCCTCAAATAAATTACCTTGGCCTATACTTTCAAGGTCACAGGGGTCAAATATGTAAAATCTTTGAGCAACAGAGTAATGATACTTGGCTAGTAGGTACCTGGGACACGGTGCTATACATTTCCCCAAAAAATAAATTACCTTGACCTACTTTTACTATCACAGGGTTCAAATATATGAATACCAAACAATACCAGGAGGCACTCAGGGTGATGATATTTGACCAGTAGCATGTTGGGATAGATTATTATAAGTTTCATTTAGTCTGGAACATTCATATAAGCCAAGGGGGCTGATCAGTATATATGGATATTTGTAAAAGTACTTCTATTGAGAATATTTCCCCATTATTGCTCAAATATTCAGCCGAGCGATACAGGCCCTCTGGGCCTCTTGTTTTTGTGAGGGATGAGGGTTAATATAAGACTCTTTCATGCATGTCGTGAGCTGTTAAGCTAGGATGAGGAAATTCCACCCTAGTAAATGTCAAATTGGGTTTACCAGTGGTTTGCAGATCAAGGCTTTAATTTGTACCATTTTGCAGACCCAGAGAAGGGAATTTCCTTATCCTACACTCTTATAGGTACCATGTATTGTTCTCTTGTTCCAATCACCAGAAATGTTTAGCCCAGAGACAATAGATTTCCGCCTCTTGTATTCTGCACTCGTGGCACTGGAAGGTTCCCAATTGTTGATTTCCTGATGTCATGTACATCATTGTTGTCCCATTGTGACATCATGCATGTAAATAGGTGTGGGTGTAAGATTAAAATTCTTTTAATTACTCCCCTATGAATCAATTGATTACATGTTTGTATACATGTTTAAATTAATGGTCAGGACATAAATGATAATTTGTTATTAATTTTTAAATTTTGTTATTAATGTAAATACTTTAAATTAACTGACTGGGAAATTGTATAAACTGTATTTTAGCCAAATAAGTATCTTATCCCTTATTAAAGGGACAGCACGCTACCCTGTATGTTCTTATATACATGTATGTTATTATAACTAATCACGTTTCACCACAACTCCTCTCAAAGAAAAAGGGAAAGAAAGATGAAATAAATAAAGAAACGCTTAAATTCTTAAAGAAATTATATTGAAGAACTTATTTACAAGTGATTTGCATTTTTCAGGTGAGGACTTTGTGTAAAAAACTTTTGTAAATACTGTGTGAGTACATATAAAGTAAGGACATGAACTTACGGGTCCTAGAGATGGGCTCTTCCTGGCTTGTCCTAGTCTGAGGTTAACTAATTTCTTGTCCTCATTTGAACCTTGACCTCTGACCCCTTCAACAAGGATGGACAGTGATAACCATTCAAACAGGAATGATGTATGGACGCCACCAGAGTCGACCCAGGGGCCGCGTTACTCACAGGAAGTGGGCGTGGTCTATACATCAGGATCTGCATCCTATGCTGCATCAGCATCGACGGCCTACGCTTCGTCTTCAGCCACATCAACACGAGTCTCTGCCCCAAATTACTCGCGCCTACAGTATGGAGCACCTTATTCACAAAGCAGGTACAGCTAACAATATACTTTGCATGTAGTATGCCACAAAAGATTATTTTAATCATCAAAGTTGTTACAATTTTTTCATTGCATACTTGCCAATTCAACTCTTCCTTTTTAGTAGGGAGACCCCGATTTTGGACCCTAAAATTGAGCATTTTCAACCAGTGAAATTTTCTAAACTAATCCTCTTTTCTAAGGTCTGATGATTTCACCTGAAAAAACAACTCAAACATTGCCATTAAAAAGTGTTATTTTTTCCCTAGGGTGTACATTTTACACACATTATAATTTTGCTTTTAATTCTGTGTAAGTGTAATCTAAAATTTTAAAAAGTTGGCAAGTATGTCATTTGTACGCATCAAATATGAAACCAAATTTATCAACTTCCATTAATTATATATACCTTGGTAATCACTCTTTTTGGCCCGGATAACAGGGGTCAACACTAACACTTGTCCCCTAATCCTGGACTAGTAGATTTCAGCGAGGACTAGTGAATCACCTTACCTATAACTGGTCCTATGGACTTGTGAAAAATACAGTTATAAAATAAGAACATTTCTTCTAAAAATTTAGAAAACTGCTAAAAATAAGATATATTGTTTGATGATTATCAAAATTTTCCTAAAACTTTACCATATATTTACAGTAGTAGTTATTTTAAGACTCCTACAGTCAATTACTTTTGATGTTTCGTGCTGTAGATCGCAATTTTTTCCTTATCAGGAAATCTTGGACTAGTTACATTGACAAAGGACTAGTTTTAGTAAGTAATCTATTCAAATAGTCCTGTGGACTACCAAACAAAAACAGTTAGTGTCTAACCCTGGATAATAGCACACAGTGGTCACGATATGAGAGGAATCTGGAATACCAGAGAAAACCAACAGGTTAGGCAGGTGGTTGTGATTTTATACCTGTTCACATTCAAAAAGGGAATCAAGCAGACCATATATTGGTGAGGGACTAGTGAGATCTCCAATGTTTGTTTCTTGCTGATATCTATAACTGCATGCTAGTTTTTGCTTTCAGATCATAACCAGATTTGTCTGATGATTTTTTGTGTATGAAAATTTATTTCATCAAAGATTAATTGTTTATTTTCAAGGGTGCCATTTCCAGATGCTTACATTTCCCCGTCAGACCCCCAGGCGTTTCAGGCCCCCCAGTCATCATATGAGCGTATCTCGCCAGTGAATGAATACCGGGAGATACGAGAAGTCCCCTCAGGCAGCGATCCCATTTCTTCCTATTCAGGAATGCAGGCCGAGGCATCAAGCATGTTGACAGCGCCATCTGTTGACAGCAGTACACTGGGTCCAGTAAGTTATCTTCCCTTGAATTAACTGATGCTAACCCTGGACAATATGATTTATTAGATTAAAGATATACTTAATACTTTATATGTCAGACAAAACACTATTAAATTTCCAGAGAAATTGTGTTTTCCTGATGAAGATATACAGCCATTTGTAATCAATTAAGCTTCCTTATACTGAAAATAATGTTTACAACATTGTTTTTCAGTCCAGCCATGAGCCTACATCAGTTACCTCCCCTTTCAATTCATTTAAACATAATTCTGATATTTGCTGAGTTGAGTAAGTTTTGAAGTGTTTGTCATTACCAATTTTATTTTGTATGACAGGGTTACAATGTTTCCCATGTTGTCATGAACTCGGACCATCAGCGTGTGATGGCAGTACAGAGAGTGATCTCCCCTGTGGACTGTACTGTCAGCCAATCAGCAATGGCTAACCAAGACCAACAACATCAGACCCACACCCTTTTGGCACCCGTAAGTTACACAAATCAAATCGATCTTTCTGATTATATGACAGATGTCAATTTAGACTATAGATATCTGTCATGAAGGTAAAACTATTTTGATTCAAATATAATTCCGATTGCATCCACAAATAAAAGTGTTTTCCACTTCTCTGTTAAGTCAAGGATATATTAAAATGAAAGTATTCGGGAAAAAAAACCCACTAAAATTTTACTCCTTATATTTAATTTTATGCTTTTCTATTGCCATTTTACATATCCTTATGATACTACACATAATTATTTTTAGCTAATAGATTGATTGAGTAGAAAAAATTATCAAATAAGACATAAAAAAATCACATTATTAAAACTTGGTTCTCTATTAAACAAATAATGTGTTTTGTATATAAATAAATAAATAAATATACAACATTTGATATAGCGCCCTATCTAGCAAACATAAGCCACTCTAAAACGCTTTTCAGTACATAGATTAGATATACAATTAATACAAAAATACAATTTTGAGGAATTCACAGGAGCTGCCATATCAGGTGCTAACTACTAGTTCTTGCCACCTGGAAAATGTCTGCCTACATGTGTATGTTTGCGTTTGTGCTGGAGATGTAATGTGTTCTGTTTGTAGTAGGACCGTGCTTCCAACCGTGAACAGTATCATTTATAGTGCCACCTCACTTGAATGCTACAGCACAGATACCACAACATCCACCCCAGACCAATTTATGCTCCAACTGGGTTGTTGGAGTTGTGTGGGCAAGTGAAAAACACTTTCTCTAAATATCCATGCTTACAACGACATTAGGGATCGAACCCCGACCGCCTGCGTGGAAGGCCGTAGTGTTAACCATTCGACCAATCCGCCCAAATATATTGGTACCTGCATAGAATTACAGGGATTATATGTTGTTCTGTTAGTGGTATTGCATATATACAGCATGAGAGTCTCTGTATAGCACTTCTTATGGCAATATATACATACCATCAACTTCACAATCAGGGTTTGAAATTTTAGACTTCAACTGTTCAAAATATCCATTAAATGGATTTCATTAAAAATCAAATACCAGGGTAATATAAAAAAATTACAATTTAGAAACCATCAGAACTATCAAACAGCTGTTCTCTTTCTAAAGGTGACAAGTGTTGCACGGTATCCCGTTGGTCAGGTGACTTCGATGCCATCATACTCCCACAGTGAGGCGGTGTCTTCTACAGGAGGGTCGTCACTCCTTTCTCACGGACACAGCAGTCACCTGGTTGAGAGGGAACAAGACAACGGAATTTCTTCTATCACGGGACCGCCAACACAGGAACGGCGTATGATATCGTCCACCCCCCGCAAGGTAACTGTTTACCAAGGCTTATAACTTAAGGGTTGTTATGGGAGTGACCAGCTTTCTTGAGTTGGATTAAATGTTGATATATCAAGGTTAATTGAAAAGATGAAAGATACTGCTTTAGAGAGATCTCTATATAAAATTTTAGTGAAGAATAAATCCAAATTGAAAAACAAAATGAAATATATAATCAACTTGATATTAATCATCATGTTGACGCTGATGGAACTGTGAATAAAAAACAAGAAAGAAAGATAAATGGACAAATTTTAATTAACATGTTTTCAGAAGATTATTTAGGAATTTTGAAATGCTACAAAAGACTTAAATCTCTTCTTTACAAGTGCAAATATTTTCTCATTTGAAAAACAACAGAGAGAAACAATCAAGAGATTTTGGTGTTAATTTTCAGACCACACATGAGACTATTAGTGGCGAGCCCGATACTACCCAGGATGATGGCGAGGAATTCCAAGGTAACTGATAAAATGCCTTAGAAAAACTGAATATTTAATTTTAGCATAATCTGTTTATTCTCTTAAATTTTTTTTCATAAAATTTGAAATAAAAAAAATTCACATAATTTTTCAAAATGTCAGTGGATTGAACATTTAATTATATGTGGAGTTAAAAAAGGCAAATGCTTCTAGTGTTCATGATGAATGGGCAAAAGACCAAATGAGTTTATTACCTCGCCAAGCTTTTATCTTTCATCTGTTCTAAAAGACGCATTATGCAGAATAGCCATAGGATTTGTGAATAGATCTGGTATGAAGTATCTCTAAGTCTTAATGATTAACTTGACTTCTGTAATGGTTAATTTGAGCTATGACATTTGACCCTGTTTTATTTACAGCTGTGAGGAATTACATGGTGGATGCCTCGCCAAACCTGGATGACACAGAACTCCATTCAACCATGACCCAGTCCCATCATCCGACCTCTGACCTTATGGATCACAATCATTCAATCAACTCATCACATTTATCCAGTTCTCTTCATCACTCTCTGAGCCAGACCAGGATGGACAATGTCCAGGATCGAGGCATTGTCGACAGCTCGGGAATAGGTAAATATTGACCGTTTTTCACAGATGATAATCCGAGCCGTTTTTCGTTTATCGCGATCCAAACGGTTAAACAGGTTGGACCAGAGTTGTTCGTTTATGAAATAAGGTTGGACACAATAATCTGATGCTGCCTTCAGATGAGTCTTGACAAAGCCTTGCAAGGCCTCCATAAACATTTGCAGGTCTGCCAGGATTTATACCCAAAAATGTTGCATTTAAAAATGGACGTACCGGTTGTTCCGCATTTAAAACGACCAGGTCCCTGGTAAAAGGCAATATTTCATCTCCTAGCAACAGGGGCAACTTGTGTTAGACTTCTTAAACATTTATTAAAATAGTTGTTTTGGTCTGTATTAACTCATTCACCCCTACATTTTTAAATTGGACTTGCCCAATCTTTGATTTGGTAAGGTTCAAATGAGACTGCAGGGGTGCATGGAGTAACACGATGTTTGTTTGATGTAACCCTGCCCAGGATTTGAAGTTTGGGTTGAGGAATTAATTCTATTTTAATTTGAAAATATATGCTTGTTTACCTGACTTTGAATAAATCCATTAAGTTTTTTTCTGATAAGCTGAATTGATGTCAAATGGGGAAAAAAATCAATATTTTAGTAAAAGCAGTGGTAATAAACAACAAAGTAGATGACTGACCAAAATAATGGAATTTTGATAAAGTTGTATCCCCAAATTTCACATATTTTGTGTAGGGGCTTTGTGTTCGGTCGGTCGTGTTAAGAAAACAATCAAAACTTTATTTTAGGCCATACAGATTCTTTTTTTCACAGCAGCTGTTGGAAATAGTGTTGACTGTCTACACCAAGTTATGTGGTAAATGTTTATAAAAACAAATAAAAAGGTAAACAATAAAAAGATACCTTCAGGAATTTAGAAATAATCACTTTTTTCCCTCTTTTTAATCAATATAAATATATCAAATACCTCCCCTGGTATTCGATAGTTCCATGTTACGGGTGGTTTTTGTTGGAAGTGTTTTTGATGCAAAAACACTGATAGCGCTATACAAGATACAAGATACAATTTATTTTATTTCATCTTCAAAAAGGTGACATCTATATGGCCTTTTTTAAAAAAAAAAAGTTGGTCAACCATAAGTGAAAAATATAGGTAACAATGTCCTATGTACATCAACAAAAGATGTTACAGGCCCAAAAAACTTTTCTAAAATTTCGACCAGCTACTGACGCCTGTAAAGGGCTCCAGTTAACATGTTAGCTCCAGATTTAGCCACATCCTCAACACTCCAGGGGTTACACTCACTTACAATCTCTACACCCCTGGAATATATCATGACAAAATTGAAGGCTTAGTGTGCGCCACCTTGTGGAAGAGACAAGAAGACTAGTTTGATCCTTTGATCTTCATCAGAGGGACCTGGCAGAGAGTGTGAGTAAACGTAACCTCTGGAGTATCGAGGGTGCCATTTTGGCTGCTGTTGTCATTAAAAATAAATATGGGGCTTCAAGTTTAATTCTTATTTATTTGGCAACCAGTTGGCGAATAATTGCAAAAATTATATGGAGAAGTTTTATAATGGTTTACAGGGTCATCATCCATTGTAGAGGGACCTTCCGCTTTGATGAGTGTGGCTACCCTACAGCGCCTTGGGACGTCCCTTGTCTCTAGCATCGACCCCGACAAAGACATGTCAGAAATGGAAATCATCCCGGGGCCAAGCGGTTCTCAGATGCAGGTACTGTTATTGTTTTCCTGTTTGAAGTGTTGGTAAAAAGTATTGTTAGTATAATGCTGTCTGTTTTTGTTGGTTTGTAGCGAATCCTGTTTTTTTGTTCATGGTTTTCACTGTATCTGGGTAAAATTAGATAATATTGTTGAATATTTAAAAAAAAATTGAAATGATACAGTTATATACTGTTGACAAATTTGAGTTAGGAAGTAAATTTTGAAAAACTAAAATATATTATATTTCAAAAACTATTTTTTCCCTACCTTAGATATGAGGGTGGAAAAAAACTCAACCAAAACCAGCTTACTGATCAGTATGTACTGGGTATATAAGTAATGATCACAAATTTTCACAGCTGCTATAAGTATGTTATCAATAAATTCATTGGAAAAGGTTACTGTTATACCACCAAATAGTACAGTTAGTATGAAGAATTAATTGGGGCTGTATTGAATATCAATTATCTGGCCTGAACAATTTAATTTAACAACAAATGTCCTGTCACTGTCAGGTACGAAAGTCCTCCAGGATAGCAGACTTGGAAAATGAAACTACACACTGGCATCATAGACCTACGTACAACCCGAAACCCTACAACCCAAATAGTTTATGTAAGTACAACCCGAAACCCTACAACCCAAATAGTTTATGTAATGACAACCCAAAACCTTACAACCCAGACGGCTTATATACTGTAAAAAAGGAATTGTTTGAAGTGTGTAAATGCAGATGTTTTTTCGCGTTGACCATGTTTACACAAAAGTATCCGTCATTTAGAGTTTATAGAACTTATATCTATCTATATATAGATTTAGAGCCATTACCAACTCTTAACGTTTTCCACATCACAATCAGTTCAACTCATTCACCCCTAAAGACTTGTTTGAACTCCCCCAATTCAAAGGTTGGACTAGTTCATTATGAAATTTAAGGGGTGAATGAGTTAAAGAGTTACAATGCTAACATTTCAAAATACGAGAATTTCCACTTCTACAGCAAGTACAATAAAAACAGTGTGTACAACCCAAAATCCCTGCAATATGAATAGTTTGTGGAAGTACAACCCAAAACCCTGTAACGTATAAGTCAACCAGAAACCTTTAAATTCAGACAGTTTAAGTACAACCAAAAACAATACAATCCAATAATTCACAACTTAAGCAGTTCAAGTAGGTGAAACACAAAACTGTACAGTGTAAAAATAAACCCCCTACAACCCAGACAGTTTAAGACTGTTTAACCCATTGTCAAACTCTAAAACACGAAGCTGTACATTCCCTAACTCATTCACCACTGAAACTTTATAATGAACTATTCCACCCTTTGAATTGGAAGGGTTCAAATGTGTCTTTAGGGGTGAATGAGTTAATTAATCTTACAACTTGAAACTTGAAATACAACAGACAACCACCCTTAATAAAGAACATCATGGCAAAAATTTCATCATTGATGTAAAGTTGAAGATTCCTGGACGGTATTCAGGGTTTCGGTTTTCACTGCACTGATATAATTTTCCAGGGTGTGAGGAGTGTATGATGACCTATGAACCGTCCTGCCCCATACATCGACTACAGGTTATACCTGACAAGGTGGTCCTGTCCCGCGCCTGGGCCAGTCTCCCGCCCATGTTACAAATATTTCGACTCAGCGAGGACAATCAGTATCCTCCCGGTATGTATATAGAATTAGTACATGTATATAGTTTTTAAGATAATCTTGTACTACAACCCTATCAATACTGGTAATAAATTAAAATTTTGGCACAAGATTTATTGGAAAGATTAATAGTCATACAAAACCTGTACATACATGTATTGTAAGATTTGTTTGTAGGGCTTTGTAATAAGCGAAAAGGCATTTTTGACAATATCCTAAAAATTTGTGATAATTTTACAGGAAGTTCAACATTTTTCAGTAAAACAAAATAGTTTTTACAGTGGTCTGGGGACACTCAAAACGATTTAACCCATTGATACCTGATGACAAATTTGGACTGCTCCAAATCAAAATATGTCCTACTCCATTGTCAAAATACAGGGGTGAATGAGTTGAGATAAGAACAGGGGATAGAAGATTAGTACACTGGCATTGCTGACGATAATTTCACTTGACAGATCCGCCCCACGTTGGAGTATTTGCCAAGCGTCCTCTGACCAAGCTGACTCAATTTGGTCCCTACATTGGGGACCTGGTTCCCAACAGAGAGAGTGCAGGCACGACCCGATTTCTCCTCCTGGTAGGTATACATTTTATTATAAGTGTGTTACAGGGATGTGTGTTAATTCATTCACCCCTGCAATTTCATAATGAACTATTCCAAGCTTTGAATTGGAAGAGTTCAAATGTGTCTCCAAAGGTTAATGACTTAAAATTGTAATACAGTCATGCCACTACTTATGCCGTTGTCCCAATATCTAGCTGGTATCTTAGAAGACATATTGAATTGGCCTGTTTCTAAACAAAGTATTTTTAAACAATAAGGTATTAACCAAAGCGTAGCGGAATCAAATTGTCGGTATGATTCGTCATTTCGTACATGTGTAACAACTAAATGTACATACGCCTATAGCGTATCTGAATCGACTTTGATTATAAATTGCCAACTTGTACATATTTTACACCTTTGTGTACATACACTTCACTGGTCCTTTGTCTGAGAAAGGTGATTATAATTGATCATCAGCCAATCACTAATTGATGGTAATGATTTAAAGATAGCAGCTGAAACACAGTGAATCCTCTGTATCTGACCTCTTTGATGTTGTACTTCAAAACGAACTGTGATGTACTGATGAGTGTGTCTGTGTTGTAGCTGGAGAAAGTTGGTGGGGACATCATGTACTTTGAGACGAGTGACGAGAATAAGTGTAACTGGATGATGTTCGTGAGGCCGGCCGAGACCTACGCAGAACAAAACATGGTGGCGTATCAGTACGGCCAAGACATCTACTTCAGTGTCACCAAAAATATAGAGACTCGTGGAGAGCTCAAGGTTAGTAAGAAAGCTCAAAATGTCACAAAAATATAGAGACTCGCGAAGAGCTCAAGGTGAGAAAGCTCAAACTGTCCCCAAAAATATAGAGACTCGCGAAGAGCTCAAGGTGAGAAAGCTCAAACTGTCAACAAAAATATAGACTCATGGAGAGCTCAAGGTGAGAAAGCTCAAACTGTCCCCAAAAATATAGAGACTCGCGAAGAGCTCAAGGCGAGAAAGCTCAAACTGTCACCAAAAATATAGAGACTCGTGAAGAGCTCAAGGTGAGAAAGCTCAAACTGTCCCCAAAAATATAGAGACTCGCGAAGAGCTCAAGGTGGGAAAGCTCAAACTGTCACCAAAAATATAGAGACTTGTGGAGAGCTCAAGGTGAAAAAGCTCAAACTACCACCAAAGATATAGAGACTCATGGAGAGCTCAAGGTGAGAAAGCTCAAACTGTCCCCAAAAATATAGAGACTCGCGAAGAGCTCAAGGGGAGAAAGATCAAACTGTCACCAAAAATATAGACGCATGGAGAGCTCAAGGTGAGAAAGCTCAAACTGTCACCAAAAATATAGAGACTCATGGAGAGCTCAAAGTGAGAAAGCTCAAACTGTAGTACATATATTAGAAATAAAGATACATATATTAGAAATATAGAAGTTTTCACTTCAATATAACCAAGATATCTACTTCATAGAGGCTCATGTAGAGCTGATCAAGGTAAGAAATGAACCAATGTTAAATTCTGATCTGTTATTTATTTGGCAAAAGTAGTACTGAAAATTGGGAAATTTTTGCCCAGTCAAATTTTAGCCCTTTGACAGTAAAATACCCTTTTATCCAGAATTCAATTTGCCCTTCACATTTAATTGCTATGTATATTATGCTGTTTACAATTGTTTGCTGAAATGATAAATTACAGAAGGCGATAAAAGGGAAAATTAAACTGCAGTGAAAATTTCCCAGTTTAAAGTACTAATTTACTTTGTACAAAGAAACATTACAGTAGAGATGATTTAGCCAATGTTGAAGGCCTCTCGTTACGATTCACAGCTTGTCAAATTTACATGGACACCTTGCGAAAAAAAGCAGCATTTCACCTTTACTTTTTACAGGTGTGGTACGCGTCTCACTATGCTGAAAGGTTTGGTCTGCAGACGTTAGAGATCACAGATCAGGACTTACAAAGTAAGTCAATATCACCAGTACATGAATAGTGAAGTTTCCTTTTCCTCTAATTAGTTATTAACCCTGATTTCCAATCAAATTCTTTCTCATTATTATCACAGTCACAGTAGGATGCGTGGTAGTCTAGTGGTAGGATGCCGGGCTCGTGACCGAAGGGTTGCAGGTTCGAGTCAGGTCACAGCACTGTGTTGTATCTTTGAGTAAGATACTTTACTCTACTTGTTCCAGTCTACTCAGCTGTAAATGAGTACGTGGTTGGGCAGTGCTGGAACTGTAGAATGCTAGCTGTTAGCACCGAAATAGCAGCACCGGCTGTATGCTCCCCGGGGAGTTGAGAAAGATATTGGATGGTTGCAAAGGCCCCATAACCGATTCTTATAATTTGTGAACCTCTTTGAGACAACCTATGAACTAGTATAGGTTGTGATAAAGCGGTAAAAATGTTTAACCTGAATTAAGGTGACCATTGTGAAATCACTAATTTTTGTGGCGGTTTTTGATTTTGTTCATTACCTGGGTAAACTTCATGTACAAATCAAAAGGTCCACAAAGTAATTACAACTTTAATATAAAGCAATTTTCGGTTTAAATGGATACTCGTAATTCACAAATTCATGTACCTACGAAATTGTGTTTCGTCGGGGAAACCACGAAATTTGGGTACCATGAAAAAATCTGATTTTGCAGTGCTCTCAAAGTTATGAGTATTTTGGAGTCAGAATATCGGCTCTTTTTACACTATGCATAAAACATTATGAAAAAGAGGCTGTATTATGTGCGACATTTTTGTTGTCGGCTGTTACGATAGAAACAGAATTTCACAAGCCATACCTCTAATTACTGTGTCCAAAAAAATCACACATGAAAATGATAGTTGTTCTATTGAAACTGTGTGAACCTTGATTTATAATATTGATATAAATTATTTATTAAGGATATCACCAATATAATAACATTAGTGATTTCCATAGAACCAATAGGCAGTAATTACCCATAGCTATAACAATAATGAATAATAGTGACTTATTTAGGATTCTTATTTCAGATTTTTTCAATGGATTAGCACTTAAAGGCTACTTATGATAGAAAATGTTTTCAAAAATAGTCTAACTTGAGTGGCTGGAGTTTTCTGGTAAAACTTTTGAAATCCTATTTTATACTGTTTTAAAGAAAATCCCAGAGTTCTCATTCTTGTGATTTTTTGCGGTAACAACTCTTCCAAGAAAAATAAATCTCATGAAATTAATACAAAATTAATCCATCGTTACCATTATAGACATGAAACCTATGAATAATAGATTATGCAAAATTAACATTTCTGCAAATCTGAAAATAGGGAACTACAGGGGGAAAAGTCTTTAACAGTATTTGTTTATAATTTTCCACGAGAAAAGTGGATAGGACAGTTACAGATTAATTTTGCAGATTCCATGTTCTTTGTTACATCATTGAGCACTTGGTTACAAATAAACCTATCAATTATTATTAACTTTCAGCTCTAGATCAACAGGAATACAAGTATCAGTGCTATGACTGCTCCAAACGCTTCAAAACGTCCCTGGCCCTTCAGCGACACATCATCGTGTCACATGACACATTGGGGCCTGCAGATGATTCCGTAGAGCCAAGTACTAGTGAGATCCCCAGAGGGAAATCCTATTCATTCAGCCAAGGGTACCTGAAGAGGAGGGGACGACCTCCCAAAAAGGTAACACATATGCAGTGTGTAGCTAAAACCATTGGACAAGAGTGTTGGTATAAAAGATATCTACGAAATGATAGCTATGATATTCATTCTACTAACAATGAGGATAAAGGGGTTTGGATGGGGCATTCGGTTGTTTCACTGGAATCGTGGTTGTCTGTACATTATAATACACACAAACTTGTCAATGTATTAATATTTATCCCCTCGCAACGAATATTCGAGGGGATTAAGGATTCAGACTGTACGTATGTTACATTCTTTGTCATCGCTCTACGACTTCTTTTCTCAACGGAATTTTATGAAATTTCATACAAGTGTTTGATATGGCAATGCCTTAGACAAGTTCGCTTTACTGGTTTCTATGAATGCAGTTACTAGAGCCGATACTGATACATCATTGTAGTATTCATTTCTTCATACATATGTCACACAATGTGTGAATGCGAGGGGATTTGTATCATGTTTGGTGCCTTATCTTGTGAGGTGTTTTTTAAGGATAACCAATTACCAGTACATTTTGTAGGTAATCACTGATAATTCAACAGCTCCTGGTAATAATTAATGGTCACAAGTTTGATAATTTATTTCTGCTATATCCTGATATTGTGACATCACTTTGGTATTTTACACTGTGAATTTATGAATTGTCTTGTTTCTAGGACCTGGATACTACTGGGTATATGTGGAAGAAAAAATCAACAAGTATTTACCTGAACAAGTGAGTAGCTTCCCTTTATTTTGTTAAAATGTTCAAAATGTTAAGTACGGTTTTCTTTACTTTAACATTAACAGTTTGATGCTTTCAATCAAGAAATCACCAAATTAAGAAATGTGATATCAAAACACATAGCGTTGTACAATTCCACTAGCCCTACACTCTGGACTAGTATAATTTTATATCAGGGCTAGTGAAAATTTCTAAGTAAATAATTATCATATATACTGTGAAATTGTGGGTTTGGTGAGTAAACATTTTCAAAATCTGTCTGTTGGCTAGTCTTAATATAAATTTTTTACATGCCTGATATTATTTCTCTCTATTTATTTAATTAGTAATTATCTACAGTATTTCAAATGTAACATCTAGCTGCTCATCAAAAAAGAGTTTGTAGACAAGATGACTCGGAATAAAATTCATTGTAGATGTGTAAAGTAATTTATAAAACCTGACAGAGACCTTCTACAAATATTTTGTACAAATATCTGAATAACATTCACCTGGGAGTGTTTCTGTCTATGAATGTTGAGTATTAAAACTCTGCTACTGCATGGTTTTGGAGTGTTTTGTTAGAACTAAGGGCAAATTCTACCTAAAACATAATCATACCGGCAATCTTTATAAAACCATCTCCTTTAAAATCACTCCAGTTCCAATCGTGTGATCGATATTTTTCCATTAACATCTTGTGGAACTCTTTTGAGGTAGCCTATACCCTTAATTCTGACTGATGTCTTGTACTTGTAGGACATTAAAGAAATACCAGCGCCGTCATGACCCGGAAGCAATTCGGCGTACGATCCAGTCCTTGTACCGTAAGAAGGGCAAGGAATCTGGCGGGCAGGAGTGGGTGTGTGTTCACTGTGACCTGACCTTCGACAACTCTAATCTCCTTAATCTTCACACGCTTACACATGCAGCGGAGGACGTCGGCTTAGACGAGGTCAGAAAATTTGCATATGGTGTCGCAGACGACGGTTCAGTCGCAGGCGGTGTTGGGTTGGACGAGAACATTGTCAGTATTGACTCCAGCACACTGGCATGTCCCGTGTGTCATGCACAGTTTGTGGAGCAGAGGGCACTTATTGAACACGCTGCTGAACATGGCACAACAAAACGCAGAAGTGAACGAGAACGACCGCATAAATGTGACAAGTGCTGGAAAGCGTTCCACACACAGGAGACACTTCAGCGCCACATGTTGTGTCACGGTGACGAAGACTCAAAACCACTTCAGTGTGATGTTTGCTTCAAGCGATTCATGAACAATTCAGCACTTTCCTGTCACCTGAAGACTCACAGTGACAAGAAATATTACCAGTGTCCAATCTGTCATCAAGGCTTCGATCACACAGCCACAATGAAGGAGCATGTTGTTGAACATGAACAGGATGGTGTCTACACTTGTCCCAACTGTCTCAAACAGTTCACTGACTTCATATCTCTACGGAAGCACATTCGGGGTTTCCACACTAATAAAGAGTTCCCCTGTCCTCATTGTGACAAAATCTTCCCGCGTCCTGACAAACTTAAACTTCACATGCTTCGTCACTCTACGCACCGCGAATTCATGTGCGAAACATGTGGTCGACAGTTTAAGAGGAAAGACAAGCTGAAGGAACACATTCGTCGCATGCACTCACTGGAGCGCGAAGTGAAAATGGCTTGCAGAAACAGGTCATCAAAAAAGAAATTTATCCCTAAAGTTTTACCATCCGATTATCACCGGTTTATTTACAAGTGTCACACATGTATGCATGGCTTTAAACGCAGAGGGATGTTGGTCAACCATTTAGCCAAGCGTCACCCGGATGTCAAACCAGAGACTGTACCAGAGTTAAACTTGCCGATTCTGAAGACACAGAAGGATTACTATTGCCAGTACTGCGAAAAGGTTTACAAATCAAGCTCAAAACGCAAAGCTCACATCATCAAGAACCACCCTGGGGCAGACCTGCCAATGAGCAGCAGGAAAAAGTCCATGGTTCCAGAGTTTCCTGGATTACCCAATCCTACATACTCACAGACTGTTGGTAGTATCACTACAATGCCACATTCATGTGAGTTCTGTCACAAACAGTATGCCAGCAAAGCCAAACTGACCCAGCACCAGAGGAAGAAACATCCATTTGCAGTTCCTCCTCTGCCTCCAAAGTTGGGCAAAGACGGTCAAATGTCAGATCCGCAGGCCCAGCCCAACCAGGATGGTATGATAACTCAGGTGGTAAGATACGACCAGGACACTGTGATAGCAATACAGCCCCATCCTGGTCAAGATGGTCAGCCAGCTGACCTCTTAACCCAGGCGATGAGTGAGTTGACCCAGTCACTCCAGCAGGAGTACCGCCAGATGGGCGAGATTCAGCTCCAGCGGGTTGCTACGGGTGCCCCTACCATGGTGACTGTCCAGACTGCGCCCCTTCAACATTCAACCATAGAGCTGAGTCACCTCAGCCAGGCCCTGCCACAAGGCATCACCCTAGCAACGCCCATACAGATGGCCGTTGCCACGCAGAGTCTCTCTGCTGCTCCTGCCCCTGCTCCCTCCGATAGTGACATCCAGGCAGGCCAGGTAATCACGTCCCAGAATGTGACTGTCACACAACAACAGCAAGTCATCAATGCACCACAGGCCATCGTAGTCAGCGGTGCCCAAGGCCAGACTACTACTATCCCAGTCTCCCTGGCAACAGGCTTTATACAGAGGGCATGGACAAACTTCAATTAATGATGCTTGGTTCATAATGCAATCATGTTATTAAGCTTCAAAAAGTGAAAGCTGGGGTTCATACAAATGGCATGATATGATGAAACTTTAAGCAGGACAAATTTCGAAAACTTTCGTGCTGCAAAGTTCAATTTGTATACTTGGACAAAATGCACCATGTACCTGTCTTCTAGGTTCATATTGCAGACTTTCACTTGAAACTGTGTGGTTATAGATTCATAGTGCTTTCCTTTAAGCAGACACAAAGCTGACAACCAGAGAGAGACCCAAGGTTAGGTGTGATTGTATTACATCTACTATATCTCCTCTTTATAAGATGGATAAAGAATCATCCTGGGCACTAAAAAAGGTGATTTAGTTATAGACTGATGAATTCCAAGGTAGACCTTCGAAATCTAAATTAATTCTGGAGAATTATTATGATTATGTCATATAATTAATATAACATCTAATTCTTTTTACTGATTTCCATCAGTATACTTGTAGTCAGTCAAACATGTTTTATTAAAAAACAATCAAAAAAGATTGTACACAAGATCTGAACTTACTTATATATTAAGCCCTCTCTGGTATTGTCATGCATTTTACCGACATAAAGTATATATGTATCCTGTCGATTGAATGTAAGTAACTACCGTAGGTACAAAAGGTAAAAATCACTGCTGTCTCTTTAACTGGTATTTGTCTGTAATTAACTTCATTGCTTGGTAGAAGGTTAACACTGTTGTTACTTCAATTTACTGTTAAGCTGCCTGTAAGTTGGGGTAGGGATACAAGTGAGAGAGACTGACTCAATATAGGGTAGGGATAGGGGAGAAAGAAGGGCTGCAACGATGTATATTGTATTGTGTATCGATACTTTCTCGTGTAATGTACCAAATTGTTTTGTTGGCCTGTATCGTGAAATACTAACAGTACTTGAATTTTCAATGAATTTTTATCAAACTCTTAAAAGGTGTTCTTATATTTTCTTTCTCCAGTGAAGATTTGGTCCACTGTACAGTCGTGTCCAAAAGTACTAGAAATTATACAAAAATATATTTCAGTAGTATTTACTATATTGAACTCTATGACAAAACTCTATAAAATCCTGCACTCAATCATTATGAAGATATTTGTATCGTGATATGTATCATATTGTAAGCATCATACCGCGTTACGTATATAGGTATTGTATCGTGAGATATGCGTGTCGTTGCAGTCCAAGGAGAAAGACAGTTTGCCTATGGAGGTTTTCAACTGGATGAAGGCAGTTGACTTGTTTTTCTTCGGAAACAATTTGTGCTTATGTGTAAAGAGGGCTGTAATTGTATATTACGAATTATTAAAACAGTGAAATATTCCTCCAAATATTGAAAAAAAATATTAGCCTTCTGTTTACTGTATACAAGGAAATTTTTCGATTTTCTGCCCTAGGCAATGAGTTTGAATTTATCATGACTGAATATTAGTACACAACATACCATATATGCACAGGCTTTTGTTTCTGTCAATACAAATAGTCCTAACAAAAAAAAATATGTGTAGGGTATGATTTTCTTTTGTCAGGACTTTTTTTATTGACAGAAACAAAAGCCTGTGCATATATAGTAAGTACACGTGAAAGACGAATCTCACACTTGGTGAGTGTGGATTTTTCTGAAATTATACAGGTTTTTTTGGGAAAGAGTATACTGATACTCTTCTTTTTTTTTGGGGGGGGGGACGGGGGGTTAAAGTATACAAATGTTATTGATATTTGTGCTACCTGTTTGCTTTATTTAAGATTACTGCTTTTTGTTGTTCTTTAAGTTTTAATTGAAGCTCTGAAGAGGTTCTTTGTTCTTTTGAATTGTTAGATGTGGAATATTTACCTTCAGATTTTATGTTTATTTAATATGATCATTTATTACAATTAGAAATGTGTAGGAAATGTGAGGGTTAGTATCTCTGTTACATACCTGGTGAATCTTACGATCATGATACAATTTTATTTTGTCACACATACAAGCTTCTATATTTGGTACACTGACAATACAAAATGTTGTATTACCCCGATATAACACCTTTTTGCACTGAATTGAATATCAGTGTCATTTGGCAGTATAATACTGTATATTGATTATTTTTTTGCCGACATTGTATGATTCAATCTAGTAAAAATTTGATCTCTCTAGACCTCTGAAACTTGTTGCCTACACATAGATAAGGAGGTGGTAACTAGCTGGCCTCAAGAGGTCTAAACTTAATTAGATTGGGTCCGATTCAAAATCATATCTCAATTTTCATTATGGTTTCTTCCTTAGCAGATGAATTGATAATGGTATATTATGCACCCATATATTTTCTGTTCAAGAACTTAAGTTCTGTTTATGTAAACTTGTAGTTAACCTAAATCACTAGACAATAGATAATGTGATTTGATATACAAACCTTTTTGATTGTGTGCAAAGTGTTGATTATTGTCATTATTAATCTGATATTACCCAATATAATACTGCATGTGATATATCTGTTCTCTTGACAGTTGATTTCAATACACAATTAGTTACTAGTATAGTCCTATATAGTCTCCACCCATTACGTATACCCAAATCATGTTACATACAAATTAAATAGGGCTGCAACGATATATCGTATCGTGATACTTTCTTGTGTATCGTATCAAATTGATTTTTTGCCAGTTTTAAAAATCATACAAAAAATATATTTCAGTAGTATTTACTATTAAAGTCTATGACAAAATTCAATAAAATTCTACACTCAATCATTATGAAGTTGACCATTTAAGCAGATATTTGTATCGTGATACGTATAATGGTATTGTAAGCATCGTATCGCAATATGCATCATATCGTGAGGTATGAATATCGTTGCAGCCTTACCAGTACCTAAACAAAGAGTACAATAATGACAAAAAAAAAGTAGGTGAAATAGAGTGGACAGTACTTATTTTTTAATTGTATTTGTAAGGGATTGTTTACATACATCTTAAAGGTGTGAACATTAGCTCTGGTACTGTTGTGTCTATGTACAGTAGAACCCTGTTATATGTCGTCTGAACGTTTGTGTCTATGTACAGTAGAACCCTGTTATATGTCGTCTGAACTTTTGGGTCTATGTACAGTAGAACCCTGTTATATGTCGACTGAACGTTTGTGTCTATGTACAGTAGAACCCTGTTATATGTCGTCTGAACGTTTGTGTCTATGTACAGTAGCTAGAACCTTGTTTAACAAGAATTTGTGGATTTTGCTTGTGCACAGTGAAACCGTGCTGGTCTAAAAAAACACATCGGTTTCTGTGTAAAAACGACACTTTTGTTTGTGTGTACAGTGTAACCTTGTTAGTCTGGATACTTTGGTTTGTGTGTACAGTGGAACCTTGTTAGTCTGAATACATAGGTTTGTATGTACAGTGTAACCCTATTAGTCTGGATACTTTGGTTTGTGTGTACAGTGGAACCTTGTTAGCCTGGATACTTTGGTTTGTATGTACAGTGTAACCTTGTTAGTCTGGATACTTTGGTTTGTGTGTACAGTGTAACCTTGTTAGTCTGAATACATAGGTTTGTATGTACAGTGTAACCTTGTTAGCCTGGATACTTTGGTTTGTATGTACAGTGTAACCGTGTTAGTCTGGATACTTTGGTTTGTGTGTACAGGGGAACATTGTTAGTGAGGACACTTTGGTTTGTGTGTACAGTGGAACATTGTTGGTGCGGACACTTTGGTTTGTGTGTACAGTGGAACATTGTTAGTGAGGACACTTTGGTTTGTGTGTACAGTGGAACATTGTTGGTGCGGACACTTTGGTTTGTGTGTACAGTGGAACATTGTTGGTGTGGACACTTTGGTTTGTGTGTACAGCGGAACCTTGTTAGTCTGGACACTTTGGTTTGTGTGTACAGTGGAACCTTGTTAGTCTGGATACTTTGGTTTGTGTGTACAGTGGACCCTTGTTGGTCTGAATGCTTTGGTTTGTATGTACAGTGGAACATTGTTAGTCTGGATACTTTGGTTTGTGTGTACAGTGGAACATTGTTGGTGTGGACACTTTGGTTTGTGTGTACAGTGGAACATTGTTGGTGCGGACACTTTGGTTTGTGTGTACAGTGGAACATTGTTGGTGTGGGCACTTTGGTTTGTGTGTACAGTGGAACCTTGTTAGTGTGGACACTTTGGTTTGTATATACAGTGTAACCTTGTTAGTGTGGATACTCTTGTTTGTATATACAGCGTAACCTTGTTAGTCTGGATACTCTTGTTTGTATATACAGCGTAACCTTGTTAGTCTGGATACTCTTGTTTGTATGTACAGTGGAACCTTGTTAGTCTGGATACTTTGGTTTGTGTGTACAGTGGAACATCGTTAGTGTGGACACTTTGGTTTGTGTGTACAGTGGAACATTGTTAGTGTGGACACTTTGGTTTGTGTGTACAGCGGAACCTTGTTAGTCTGGACACTTTGGTTTGTATATACAGTGTAACCTTGTTAGTCTGGATACTCTTGTTTGTATATACAGTGTAACCTTGTTAGTCTGGATACTCTTGTTTGTATGTACAGTGGAACCTTGTTAGTCTGGATACTTTGGTTTGTATGTACAGTGGAACCTTGTTAGTCTGGATACTTTGGTCTTTGTTGTTATATCTTGTTGATTTAAACACTGGTTTCTATGTTATGGAACCTTAATTTGTTTGTCTACCCTTTTGTTTGTTTGTTTGTTGTGTATACAGAGCTTTGTTGCAATGAAAATACTAAATAGTCACTGGTTATGTGGGTTTTTTTGTGTCTGGTATTTAAAAACAAAAATATCCATATAATATGTATTTGAGTTTTTTCTTATTGAAATTAACATACAAAGTATGATATTCAGTCTTATTTGAATGAGACTTATTTATTCCTTAAAACCGAGCATTACTTAATGTAGCTTCTCAATAAAATGTAAAATTATCCTTTCTTGTATTTTCTTCTTTTATGAGTAGTTTTTGTTAATCTTGGGAGTGAAGGGTGCAAGAATTAGGTCACCATGATGTATGACTTGACCTTTGACCTTTACTTTTGAAAAAGTTCGTCCGGCGCATATCTTCTATACTATTTCACCTGAAGTATCCAGATTTGGTGAACAAGGACATCTTGGGATGGCAGAGTGCAAGAAGTAGGTCACTATGACCTCACTGTGACCTATATATGCTTTGACCTTACCTTTTGAAAAACTTGACCGGGGCTTTTCCTGTTAATTCCTACAATTACACTAAAATGATTTCCTTCAATTTGTTTTTTTTCTTTGCATTTCTTTAAATATAGAAATCATTACCAGTTAGGGACTTCAAATTGCCTGGCCATACATTGTCTTGTTTATTCTGTTTTCATGACTTTTAATATACATGCACAGTGACAAAATTAGACTTTTCTGATCATAGGACAGACATATCAACACTCCACAACATCAAACATTCAGGTTACATACATTTCAACAGACTGACGTAAGACACATGGTTGATTGCACATTTAAGATTTATTATAGATATAGTACAAGGAGTCTAGTGGTAGGACACCGGGCTCGTGACCGAAGGGTTGCGGGTTCACTGCACGGCACGGCACGGCACGGCACTGTGTTGTATCTTTGAGCAAGAGACTTGACTCCGCTTGTTCCAGTCTACTCAGCTGTAGATGAATAGATGGTTGGGTAGTGCTAGAATTGTAGAATGCTAGCTGTGAGCGCCAAAATGGCAGCTCTGGCTGTATACTTCCCAAGGAGTTGTGAAAGATATTGGCTGGTTGCAAAGGCCCTATAACCACGGATAATAATTTGTGAACTTTGAGACGACCTACGAACTAGGTTGTGACAAAGCGGTATATAAGAACCTCAAATTATTATTATTATGTAAAAACTGAGTTATACTGCTCCATAAAACTGGTTCTTCCTTCTAGGGGTCATCAATATCGCTAGTTGGTCAGGTTGTGAGCTGATAACTCCAGTTCAGCACATGCAAATTAAATAATGAATTTACACATGCCTGACTGAATTTATCTCCTCATAACCTGATTAGAATAGAAAACTGTTTGTTATGTTTACAGTATTTGTTTGTGAATGAATCATAATTATTTTATTCATCATTCTGATCAGGAGATACATATTTCATTTTCAATATATGTACTACTGATATTACAGCTATACTACTGATATAACAGCTTTACTACTACTATTACAGCTATACTACTGATATTACAGCTATACTTCTGATATTACAGCTATACTACTTATATAACAACTATACTTCTGATATAACAGCTTTACTACTGCTATTACAGTTATACTACTGATATAACAGCTATACTTCTGATATTACAGCTATACTACTGGTATTACAGCTATACTACTGATATTACAGCTATACTACTGATATAACAGCTTTACTACTGCTATTACAGCTATACTACTGATATTACAGCTATAGTAGTACAGCAGTAGTGTCAGAGGTATATCAGCACCATTAAAGCAGTAGTATGGCTAATTTTATACTACTGACACTACTGCTATACTACTGACACTACTGTTATACTACTGCCCCTACTGTTATATTATTGACACTACTGCTAAACTACTGACACTACTGTTATACTACTGACACTACTCTTATATTACTGACACTACTGTTATATTACTGACACTACTGTTATATTACTGACACTACTGTTATATTACTGACACTGCTGCTATACTACTGCCACTACTGCTATACTACCGACACTACTGCTCTACTGCTGATATACTACTGACACTACTGCTCTACTGCTGATATACTACTGACACTACTGCTATATTACTGACACTACTGCTATACTACTGCCACTACTGTTATACTACTGACACTACTGCTCTACTGCTGATATACTACTGACGCTACTGCTCTACTGCTGATATACTACTAACACTACTGACACTTCTGGTATACTACTGACACTACTGCTATATAAAAGAAACCAATTATTTTTCGTTTTTAGGTAAACATAATATATTGAAGGGAATTTAACTGGTTCATACAAGTTGTTTAAAACCATCACAGGCTTTTTCCATTTTGGTATGTATTTTGTAAAATTCTACCACGTCGTTGATGTAACAATATTTTTTATTGGTGAATAACCATGCGCGTGCATGTATTAATTTCTCCGACCAAATTCTCCCGCAAATGTAAGAAGGCGAGACTGGGAATGGGGTTGATCTAGCTTGTAATAAATAACGTAGATTAAACGAATGCATTGTGATTCCTGTATATTTAATGAATATTTATCAGTAAATGCATAAGCCGTTTTATACATTTGAAGCACATTCCAGACATATATAACAGGAAAATTGAAGTACTTGAAACGCATATGAATTTTTAACTTGTCTCTCTATCAACTATGCCGCAGCACTATTAACTCTTTAATCTAAGAGTGCATATCAAACAATTAATTATGACAGAATGTGTAAAGTACTTGGGTTTCAAAATGCAGCCTCGTTTATCATTTATAGCAGCATTCAAGATGCTATCACACTCGACAATTCTTAAACCACTTCGGGCTTCCCGTCAAACAAGAGTTTAATGGAATGTCCCAAGTGATTGTTTTATTGTCACACGGAAACAAGTCATCCGAGTGGAATTCCGATTATGTGGAATTGTAGTAGACAATTCAGGTCAATTATATCCGATTATACACGTGCACGGGTTTCAGAAAGCTGTATCAGTAATATTCACTGTCGCTGACATCTGCTAATGGTCTGGATTTCTGCATTTCAAATGTCACAGGAAGTGTCGCTGACCTCTGGGAAAGACTAGACAGTTGTTTTAGCCCTATGTAAGGCCCCACAGGAGGGGTGCAATATGTGTCGAATATCTATTATCTGTATTATTCTGTTTGAGGTACATTTGCCTTTTTTAAAAGCTCTCTTTTTTAGTAATTGCAACTAACGGTCGTTTTTGTTATGAAAATTGTATCAAAATATACAACTATCCAGCAGGCTATGCGTGTTATTGAAGTATTGATTTTCAACATTTCTGAACAGCATTTGTATGAAGTAAAGATAGGCTGTCTCTAACATCTGCTAAGGAGACGGAAACATCTTCCGCTAAAATACATTTTTCCTCAAAACCTACGTATTTCAACCGAGGTTAAATTCTAGAATATTTTGTTGTAAATTATTAATACTTGAAGGCAATGCTCATTTATAAACAAATATCACCCAATTAAAAGCACCGGTACATAAGTTCCTCTCTATTACAATACACCAAATATTACAATGTGTCACAGAAATAAAAGACACGAGTACGTTAATAGTATAGGGATAATTTCCGGTCGAAAATAATAAATGAATAAATGTGATTATTGCTAATACAGAACAATA